TGTTTGTCGAATGAGAGATATGTGACTGATGATAGAGGTATCAGCATGAAAGGATTCTTGGGCTGAGAACTGAAGTTTTGTTCAACAATCGAGACATTTTTTTCTGTGAACAGCTTGGTTGAGAACTGAGTTGTTTGAAATGGAAAATGTTTGAGAATCAAGGTTTGACTGTATTTTAATTTATTGTACTGGGTAGTTATGGAGTAAACGTTTTCAAAACTCACAGAATTTTTTTTTTTGTCTACGTGGGTTCAATTTTTTTTAAGGGAAAGGAATTGCATTTTATGTTTACGAAATGAATGTTGTATGCAATCACTTCCTGTTTTTTCTCTAATATTTCTCAGCATGTATAGCCCAAAACAAGTATTGAAAATAGATCAAAAGGGAAGTTTGTAACTTTCTAAAAACTTGACTCTTTAGCTTATCTCTGAAAGGCCTCTTTTTCTACCACATAAATAAGAACAAAACCTATTGTCACCATTGTCTCAGCTGCCATCTTCCTAACTCAGCCCTGGCAATGCTTACACTGACTCAGCACAGTGTACTATAAGAGTAGGATATAATATGCTTGATGCTTTTCTGGACTTTGAAACTACTGATCAGAAATTGATAGAGCAATTATTTTTACATTAAGTGATTTTTCTTTGTTTATTCAGGTTGCTAGTACCACATTTCTTTTCTGTCAAATGCAGTGTGTGCCTGAATGTGAATGCCACTCTGACCCTAATTAAGTGTGTGCGTGTGCAGCCATTCCCAAGGAAAGAAGTGGGTTCTAATCCTAATCTAGTCCACTCGATCAGATGCTTTAAAATCATTAGGTGATAGTTCTTGGTGCTGACAAGCATCCAGATTATGTGCTGAGCTTTGTTTTTACTTTTTTTTTTTTTGAACACCACACACTTTAGTGTCAAAAATAAATAAATAAACTGTCACAAATGTTAGGAAAAGGAAAATTAAATATGAATGAAAACACAAACCAACTGCACTTCAGTTGCACTTTCTTTTTTTGCAGGCAGCACTAGGCATGCACAATAAGCCGACTCACTCACTGACTCTCTGAGTCTTCTGCAAGAGGACTTAATGTGTTCCAGGAGCTGTGGGGGGGGGACACAGCTGAGGGAGACGCAGCTCTTCTGGAGGGAAAGTTGATAGCAGGTTGTTATCGGAATCATGGCAGGATGCAGGGAAATGGCAGACCGAGCACTACCTACGGTCCATGTACCCTGTACCACTCTCTTCTCATTACCATTGAGCAGGCTGAGCCTGAGTCCACCGGTTGCCCACTGCCTTTCTGACCACACATAGGGCTCCCTTACTGTGGATGGAGTACTGGACAGATACAGCCCACACCAGGGTGGACACAGCCCATGACTACCCCATTGCAACTTGAAGAGTTAATGTTCAGACTGCATTTCCACCTTCACTCACTCCATCCCTGCTCCAAGTCAGGTGTCCTTATACAGGTAGCAACCTGTGCCACCAATCAAATTAATGGGGAAAAAAGAGAGCATTCTTCTCTAGTTTCCCTTGGGTTGAGAGTATAGCCCCCCAGAGCAAAATTCCTCCCCAGGCTAGAGCTCCCCCAGGGCAGGAAGCAGTGAGTGTAGCTAACCCTTCAACAACATAGGTTGGAACTGTGTGGGTCCACTTATAAGCAGATTTTTTAAATAAGTATATTGGAAAAGATTTTGGAGACTTGCAGCAATTTGAAAACACTTGCAGATTAACCTTATGATTTTTAATAATATTTTCTTCTGTCTAGCTTACTTTATTGTAAGAATACAGTATGTAACACATACTACATACAAAATATGAGTTAATCAACTTTTTTAATCCTCATTTGAAGACATGCTTATTGATTTTAGAGAGAGGGGAAGGGAGGGAGAGTGAGACAGAAAGAAACACTGACATGAGAGAGAAACACTGATTTGTTGCCTGTCATTTGCTACCCAACCAGGGACAGATTCCCATACCTAAGCATGTGCCCTGCAGGAATTGAACCCACTACCTTTTGGTTTATAGATGATGCTCCAACAAAGTGAGCCACACTGGCCAGAGCTAATCAACTGTTTTATGTTATCAGTAAGGCTGCCAGTCAACAGAAAGCTATGAGTGGTTTATTTTGGGGGAGTCAAAAGTTGCGTGTGGGTTTTTGTCTACCGAGTGTGGGGGAGGGAGGGACAGGGTAATCATCTACCCCAACCTTGTGTTGTTTCAAGGGGCAACTGTAGTCCTAGAGAGACATTGGGGCCTATTAGTGATACGAAGGGTTCGTAGCTTCTTCCTGAACTTTCTCTAAGGATGTTGGTAACCATGATTTTCTTCTTCCTCGTGATTAAAAAAAAATAGAATAAATTACTCAGGTTCTAAAATTTGCTACACCTAAATTTTACCAGCTCTATAACGTTGACCTTAATTTATGCCTCTTTAAGCCTCAGTGTTCTTATCTGTAACATGGGGCTATTGAGAGTACTTCACAGGTTTGGGGTAAGGATTAAAAAATATGATAAAATATGTATTTTCAGCACAATAGTAAGGTTCAAGAGATGTAGATAGTGTCATTAATTGTTGTCACCTGTCTCAGGTCACTTTCTGACTTTTCTCCACTCTGGTACCATTTCCCAGGCCTCCCACTTTTCCTACATTTCTGCTGCCTTTCTGTCGGCTCCACATCACTGCCTAACTCCTTGCCTCAAGATCCATTGCGTGTTTTCCTCAGATTTTTAAGATATGAAAGTTGAAATAATTTTGGATCATGTTGAATAACAACTGAAGTCACAGCAAAAACCAGGGACCAATCCAGATTTTATTGTATTTTAAGTATCTCTGTCCAGGTTCCTAATCTCACCACATTTTTATAGCCCCTCCCCCCTCAGAGAGAGAGAGAGGAGACAAAGGATAAAGGTTTCCTCCCAGCTGGCAGCCGGTGTCATTCTATTTGATTTGTAGACCTTTCAACAAAACAAAGGCCTTTTCTGTTCCTTCACAATATAGACTCTTTGAAGGCCCTCAAAATGAGGAGAAAAGCACAGACTGGACACAATTTCAGGTGTAATGGGCAGAAACCGGGTGCCTAGCTGTTGATTCACTTTTCACAGAAAAACCAGATGCCACTAAAAACATCATTTTGTAAATAGCATTTAAATTTTCATGATAGTTTCCTTTTAATATATATGTAAGAGGGATATTTGCAGCAAATTGTCATTTATAAGATCAAAAACTTTGAGAAGCCAGTTAAGATCTCTTTTATAATGTCGTCAGAGAGGTTCTGGATGCCAATATCAGCCTGTTTGTTCACTGCTGCTTTGAAATGTCTCCAAATAGTTGCCATTGGTGTTTAAAACTCAGATACCTAAGTCACATACATGTACAAACATGTATTTAACCTAAGTTTTAAAATTCTATTCTGAGGCCCTAAGAGTTTGTTATAAAAATCAACATAGCTACCATTTCATTATTTACTTTATGCAAAACACTGTGTTAACCACTCTGCATTCATAGTGTCATTTAATCTTCCTACACCAAGTAAGGTTGGTCCCACTGTTATTCCCACTTTACAGATGAGGAAACCAAGGTTTAGGGAGGTTAATAGTTTGCCCTGGGTCCCATACCCTACCTAGTATGAGCTGGCGCTAGCCAGGTGGAACAGGGGACATGTCCTGTGAGTCTTGTGCTTATCCATTCCAAAGCACCTTGCAGCTCCCTGGTGATCCTTCTACAGTGGGGGAGGCGCCAGAGAGGTAGGCATGGGTATTAGTTGTTTTCAGATGTAAAAACTATTTCAAGGTATAATCTTTGGGCCCAATTTCATCTGGATCCACACATTCAAATTACAGGTAATAAAACAAAATTAGCTCATCAACTCTTACACACATGTAAATGAAAAGAAAACCCATTTGATGAGAGAGTTCATGAAAATAAAGTGCTGTGAGCAGAGTGGGAAATCCTAGGGGTTGTGTTCTTTCCTTTTGTGTAAGGAGTTTGGAAAGCTCATTATACAGACAGTGTCTTAGGCCATCCCAGGACATAGTCTTAAAAGTCCTCTTAAAATTTTTTGTCTTAAAAAATTACACTTTTCTCTTTCCCTTCCATTTTTCAGATGAACTGTTAGTCTAGGATGTCCTATTTGTATAATTATTTGGGTGGGGTACACAACAATTTTTATGTTAAACAATTATTAGTATGGCTTATTAAGAATTTTATGGTTTATGAGATGATTGACCAAATCCTACCTACTCAGATGTAGCCTGTCATAATTAGAATTCTCTTATTTAGTGCTCTGGTCCAGCTAAGTGATAATGAGAAACAAAGCTGACCGAAATCGGGACACCAGATATCAAGGTTTCAGGCAGTAAAAGGCCATTGTGCAGCAAGGAACATAATGCTTTTCCTTCTTATCCTTTTAGTACAAATAAGCTAAAGTGTACTGGGCTCTGTGTTTCTTAGAAATGAAAGCTTTGAGAAACAGGTCCACTGTGGAGCCTGACATTTACGAAATAAGCCCACCGAGTAGTTGCCCATTGGAGCTGGTGTGCCCCAGAAATTGACAGCCTTTCTGGGAGGGAGATGCACAAAGTGCAAATTCCACTGTGCCTGTGAAAGAAGGGGCAGAAAAACCCAGGCAAATGTCTTGTTGTCGTTGAGCTTTCCTACTGCAAGGAGGCTGAAATACAGGGCTTTTAAGAAACGTCACAGCAACCAGATCAGGGGTGCAGACTGCTCACTGCAGCACAGTGCAGCTGCGCGTGTCAGGCAAAGACAGGAGAAGCCGCAGCCCGCGGGCAAATGGGGCTGCTCACTGGAGCATTTTTGAACTGAGGATCTGCTGGGAAATCGTTCCTGCAGCTGAGTCAGGGCCCAGCGAGTTGGGGCTCAGGTTGAGGCTGTAGACAGGGGCAGGGGCGGTGCTCTCAGCCCATCCCACCCCCTTCGGTGCCTAGGACCCTCCCTCCCTGGGGAAAAGGATCGTCGGGTGTGGTGGGGACTTCCTTGGACCGTACCTGCTGTAGTGAAGCGCGTGGGCAGCCAGCAGCAGGAGCTTCTGGTTATGGCAGCTCAGAAATGAAAGCAGCAGCCGCCTCTGAGGACTGCAGGGAGAGCGGCGCCCAGCCAGTGAGACAAATAAGCAAGTCCTGGACCCGCAGAAGGAGGAGTGCTGAGCATCTCTCTCCTGCTCCTCTGTCCTTTACAGAGGACTCCCTAACCTCCGGGAGGTAAATCTTCAGATCCTGCCTCTTCGCCCTGACCCCCTGGTGACATCACCAACCTGTGACAGACAGGTCGCCAGCGGTACCTGCTCCTCCTGCAGCTCCCAGCCCAGCCCTAGCCTCCCTGCCTCTTTGTATGCCGCGGACATGGCCAGCCAGCAGGACTCCGGCTTCTTTGAGATCAGCATCAAATATTTACTGAAATCCTGGAGTAATAGTGAGTAACAGAAAATAACCTTTGTTTGTTGTTTGTTGGCTAGTTGTTGCATAAGGTTGGAGAAATAAAATCTCAACTGGATGCATATGCTTGTGAACCAAGGAAGTTTTTTTTCTTCCATCTGCTATGAAAATAAAAATGTCAGTGACTGAATCAGCTCTCCTTAGCTGCAGAGGCTGCAGTGGAATTATAGCAGGTTCTGTTTGGTTACATTTTCAAGTGAGATGGCCCTTCTGAGCCTGGCAGAGCACAGGGCAGGGCATTCGGGCTGCATTTCCTGCCTTGTTCGGTGTTTGGTATTGATTTCATTTGTTCAGCCTTTATCTCAATACTCTGTGAACTGTGGTTTAACCAGGGGCGTAGCAGGGTTTCAGACTACTTCCTAATTATTTTATTAGGGAATTGTCTGCAGACAAAAAGTACTTAATAGTCTAAAACTTAAGACTCATCTTTTTTGTACACAGAGGCATTTGTACATGTATTTGATCTGTCCCTTATCTGCGTGGCTGATATTCAGGATGTTATTTAATATTTGAATTTTTAACAATCCTGATGTTTGCTGTAGTCCAAATGATGTGCTTTTCTGAAATGTAAACAAGCAAGGTTCTGACCATAATCATTTATTAGGATATCAGAATATTCTGGCTTCTGAAGTTCCATCTCTGACCTACTTAAAGATTTTAGCAATAAGGTATTTCAAAAAGACAACCTCTATGGCTTTGCAGATCTGGAATAAAATGAAAATGAGGCCTTCAGGGGATCTGTGATGCCTTGTGTTTTCGGAACAGTTTAAAACAAAGTCTTCCCTGTTTCACCAACAGCCTTTGTACTTGCTCTGGGTAAAAGACCATCAGGTATAATAGGCCCTTAATTGTTTGGAATTTTTAAACATTTTCCAAGAAAAATCTTGATGTTATATTAGGCGCATACTAATTAACCTACCTGTGTGCAAAGAGCCGGCGATTAATGATCTCCTACACGAATGACCTGTGGCCAAGATTGTTCTCCTGTAAATAAAACCTGGGCAAAAGAAACTGAGCCATAATTGCTCTGAGAAAACAGCCCGTCTCTGCAGCCTTAAGGTGGGCATGGATGTGCATCTCAAGACATGGCCATTTTTGCATCACTGTATACACGGTGGGGCTTGTCGGAAGCTGCTTTCTACAAGTGGGAAGCCATTTAGGAGCAATGCTGTCACCCAAACAGCGTTCCTGTCTCTGTCACAGCCATAACTCACTTATTGCGTGTGTAGCCCTTCCTCCTCCTGGGTGAATCTCTCTTTGTTTCTCCACCCTTTGATTAAGGGAAGAATCTGATGGGCAGGCTCTTTACCGAGCAGTTTTCCAATCACTGGAAAGGCCACCTGTGCTTCTGACACCAGCCAGTGGTTTTAGTCATCATTCCAGGTTAATCCCAGGCCAGAGGTTTTGTCTTCCATCAATTTTTGTCATTGCTTCATTAGGTTAAAAAAAAATGTGCTCTGATGAAACTGAGGCCAGTGGGATCACTTTTGAATTTTTTTCCCTTTGAGTATTTTTAAATTACTCTACACAAAGTGTATGTATATTCCCTCCACTCTTCCTGAGCTCTCCCCACTCCTCCCACACTCACATCAGAAAATGGTTCAAAATGACTGTTCAGTTCTATTTGGAGAGTATCTGGCACACAATTTTGAATTGTTTCAGTTCATCCAGCAAATATTTATTCAGCACCTACTGTGTGCCAGGCTGTGGGCTGACAAAGGTGAATGAGAAAGGCCCTGCCCTCCATCTTAATGTCTTCAGAGCAGAAGAGAGAACTGGGTGTTCTGTTGCGTTCCTTTGGGCTTAGAATGTTTTTAGTCCTGTCTTGAAAGAGGAAGAGGAAATATACTTTATACTTAGCCGTCTTTAAGCTTATTGCAACACTAACCTGCCTATAATCTATCATAGGTCCCTGTTTTACATGCTTTTAGTAGCAAAGAGAGAAAGGAATCGGTCTGTAAGGAAGACAAAGTAGAAGTGAGAAGCCTTATGGCTTTACACTGCTCCGGTAACCCTGCTGGGAGGTTGCAGGAGAGCTGTGAGGTGGCCCTGCATACCAGGTTTGGGGGAAGCTCTGAGGAGAACCAGGCCCCTAATTGTATAGCAGAGCTTTTTTATAGAAGCACAACAATAAAAAGCAATAAAACAAACTCTATACCTATGGCTGGCTTCTTTGCAAGGTGGTAGGAAGAGGAAAGATGATCCCTGTAAGCTTTTTCAAGATTTGCATTCGGTTTTTTTCCTAAATGGCACATTGTGAGGAAAAGGTAATTTTATATATGTCTCCTCTGAAGAATTAACAAGTCAATGAAGTCATTGCCTGGTGAGACATATTTCTTTTCATTGCCTGTGCATGTTGACACCCTCTTCATGGGCATGCTCACTCTGTCAGGCCACCCTTTCCTTGTAGGGACTGGGAATGAACATGGCCCTTATGTCTGGGAATAAAATAGCCTTTGTGGACCTCACTGCAGAGGTTTTTTTTTTTTTTTTAATCTGTTCTTTTGCTCCTTCCCCTGTTCTCCTGCTCCTTCCCCATTCATGTCCAGGCCTTCTCTGGCCTTTCAGTAATTCGCCCAGCTCCTGCCCTCCGGTGTTCAATCCAACCTGGAATGTTCCACTGGTCACTTGCTGTTCTACCTGACATATGGTGTCCTGGGGAGGCTTCTGCCAACATTTCAAAGACTAAGCCACACTTCTCTTGCCTTCAGTGTCTATGACCACCATTCAGGCCCTTCTCCGAATGCCTGGTCTATCCTCTCAGGTTGTTTCATCTGTTTACCCTCCTCTGCATTTCACTAGCCTGCTCCCCAGTCCATGCCCTCGCCTGGGCCACACAGGCCACAGGACCAGATAGGCTTGGTCCAGATCCTTAGTTCCTGTACTCATGTGGCCTCAGGCAGTTAACTCCCCTACCTCAATCTTCTTGATCTTCTCATCTCTACCCCAGGCAAAAAAATGAGTACCTCACAGGAGTAAATGAGGTGTTAAGATGTAAAGCACTTAGCACAATTTCTAACACACTGGTATTATTTTAACATTGATTGAGCATTTACAATAGACTCCAATGCTCCCTGCTCCTCTGAACCAGACTTAGGCCGTGTTTTCTCTTAGCACTCACATCCTCAGGGAGTCATCTGTGTGTGGACAGTTCTTCCCACCGTCCTGGAGAAGGGAGCCACATAAATCAGGCATGAAACTAGTTGCTTGCTTTGGCCATTCTTTTCTAGATTTATCTTTTAACTTTATTCCCTTTCTCATCTCAGCTACTGTTAGAAGGTTCCTACCTTCCTCAAGTGCACACCTTCCAGCAGCATGGGGTGACCAGGGGGTTTTCTCAGTGGCAGAAAGTCATCTTGGCTTCTCAGGTTTGCCATAGAAAAAGCTTAGAGCAGATAGTTCCAGACTATTTCTTGGAAAGGAGAGTGTGTTGCATGTCAGTGGATAGATCCTTTCTCGGAAAGGATAGAGCATGTTGCATGTTGGTAGATACATGCAACATGCAACTAGTTGCATGTTGGTGGGCTCTCTGCTGATCTGCAAGCTCTGCCTGGCTGTCCTGGTGTTTACATCGCTCCTCACGTACAGTGAACTCAGGCTCATGACCAACCAACAGAATCCACTCAAGGCCCGGGTCGTCCCAGGGAGGAATGTCCTTCCTTCAACCTTTGGCTTCCTTATGGAGGGAAACTTTTGAATGCTTATTAACTCTTTCAAGGAAGGAGTTAATTAATTTATTTGACAGACTACTCATTTTGGAAGGAGCTGATGTGTGTTGTAAAAGATCTAATGTTACTGCAGAAAACCTGCAGTAGTTTTCAGAATCAAATGTGGCATTTTTCAGCTATGACATAGTGAGTTAGGTAGTGGTGATAAGGACTCTGTTTTTGTCCACCACAGAAATGCCAGCTGGTATAAGGTTAGCTCTGGGGACAAAAAGTCCTGTGCAAGTGAGGTTGGAAAACACCTCCAACTTCCTGAAGAGCAGTGCTTGGCGATCCTGATTTCTGTTACCATGTTCACAAAGACACTGGAAAAGGTTTCAGAGAACACTCTCTACATGCTAGTTTTAGCCTCTTTGTAAGACTGGTTTTAATAAATAAAAAACTGAGGAGTTCTAACCAAGTTGCCTAAATCCAGCAGGGCAATACTTACCTCAGTTCTTTCAACAGGAAATAGTCTCCAGTGCTGACCCAAACACTCAGACAGCATTACCAATAAAGGTATTCTCAGAATATGGTACCCAATAACCATATTCTGTACACATGGTCCCTTCTGCTAGAGTTGTTCATAGTCCTAATGAGACGTAAAAATCCCAAATCAGCATCCACTCCCAGCAGACGGGGTCTGTCCTTGGGTTGCTGATGGAGACAAATTAGAGGTGTTGTTTGGGATTTTTTGTTGTTGTTGCTTGGTTGGTTGTTTAAACCTATAAACAACCCTAGAATAATATACTGCCACATTGGCTATAGGCCCACTCTGTGTTAAATGTTATGCCTGGTAATTTATATGTAGGGCAGAATTGAACTTAATAATAATGCTGGGACACTAGGCGTGAACTGGGACAGTCCTGGGCAAAGGAGGCCATATGACCCCTCTGTGTATCACCTTCACTCTTTCCAATAAC